TATCAGCATTCTCAATTTTCTCCTGCAATATATGTATATAACCTTACTCTTTAGCATATATTTTCTCACGTATATCTACTTTTTACACGTTTAAGATAATTTTGAAACCTGCAGCATTGCACGGGCTTAACTGCTTGTAAGTTCTAAATAAGGAAATAGTGTATCTATACATGCATAGTACGTACAGTTGTTTAACAAATGAGATGCATGAGTTGAAGTAAAGGGCATATATCATATATCGAGCTAGATTTGTATAATATTGTCAACACAACCAACAGTTATTAGTCAAAGTGCATTTCAACCAGTAACTACCAAATCATATTGATATATAACTGTCTGTGAGAGTATATAATAAGTTAATAACACGGCCAGTACAAGTGTGATCTGCTGGTTTTTTCTTTCAAACTAGCTAGCTTAGCAAGATTCTATAGCTTTTTAGATTCTCAATTTCACACACTATGATGAGTACTTATGTTCTCCTGCTTTTTCATGGCCTTATGATTCCTCAAGGTTCTGTTTGGCGTACCCACAAAGACCTGGTTAAAAGAACAGAAATCGAACTTAAGTTCACAGTTGTAAACAATTTCTTCGCTGCTTCCTTAATTCTCTCTCTCTAAATGTTATCAAATTTACCGATTTCAATTGGTTATGAGCATTTGAAGTTCTAAGATCTTGACTCCCCTTCGCTTGTGTGTGTATATATATATAATAAAAAAAAAATCTAAACTTCAACAAAACATTGACACCTTGAGACATGTCAAATAAGCCTTTGGCTTTCTAACGTGATGAGGAACCTACAACGCGCTATTGTTGGCAATGACTAATCATATATAGTGTCATTAGATTATTAAAACTCATTAGTTTAAAGAATACTTAATCCAATCGTTGTGGTACAATACAGATGGAGTGACATATCACTTTAGCTTGGTTTATTTTGCATGTGGTTTGAGAAGCCTCCACATTTTCTTTGGTGGCTTGAGTTTGATTGTTCATCATTCAGGCTTCGGAACTCTCCCTTTTTTTTATATTGGAGGGTACCAATATTTTGTTGAACGATATATCACAACGCTAGAATGCTCTAAGAAACCCTAGAATCGACTTGATCTTCAACACCAACACCAAAGAGGTGTATTTATACGTCCAAAACATAAGGCAAACCCTAGTAGGACTTAACATTCAAGGAGGAAATAAAAGAAACGGTTAACAAAGTTCCAGAAGTATCCCAAAATTTTAAATGTTGTTTTGGGATGGTAAAGAAGGAGTTTGGCCAAACTTGCCTCTGATTCACAAGCCAAGCCAATGCGTATTGGTCCTCGCGTCATTCTCTTCCAAACGACATGTATTATGCATGATTCTGACACCGATCTACCATACCTACATCCCATAAGCCTTGTTGCCAACTTTGCATCATTCAAGCTGCTCTTCAATCTTCTCAACCATCTATTCTACATCAGTTTTTATGTTTCACATCGCAATATTTTATTGAATCGGCTTTGAATTTTTTATTTTTGTTTATGTACTTCAACATCACTCTTAACTCTCCTCAGTTTCATGTCATTCAACAAGAAATATCATATCTTTTACATAAAAAAATTAGAAGGAAAAGAAAATGACAATTGTAATCAACATCCAAGCAACAGCTCATGCAAACGCTAAACTATGAGACAACATTTTATCCACTTAAAAATTATATTTTTGGTTGGTTTTAACAACCAATCGAATTAAATTAGTTCTTCAAATTTCTTGTATTCCAATTGAACTTATTCCTCAGCAACCAATATTGGAGCTAGCATTTCTTTATGGAGCTTCCTCCAATCAAATTGAAAGACTAGATCAAAAGTTAATTCGCATACAAAAATATATGAAAATTAAGCGCATGCACATCTTGTATGTAATGCCCACGTACATATTCTTGTCTTCTTCTCAACTTCTTTATACAAATTTTTTTTTTTGAAGTTTTCTTCCTTCTTTTATTTTAATATACTTTATTTTAATTAGTTTGTAATAATTAATAATTTTGTATAATAAACGACACCCATCTTGACAAAGAGAAGATAATTGATAAGAACAAGAACAGTGGAATTCATCAAAAGTATGAGAAAACCCGAGTGTTTAATATTGAATAATTGATAAAATAGATATCAATCGTAATGTATAATGTAACTTAATCCTAGAAGCCCTATGAATCCAAAAAGTAATAGAAAAAAGAAATAATAAAATACCAAAAACATCCGTAAATCTTAAAATCTTAATAAAACATTGTAGACGAGAGTATCTGGTTGAAAACTACCATATATTACGGCAAAGAGTTAAGTTTGATGTGTATCCCCATTTTCGCCCAAGTGAAGCCGTACATGCCCAAGTCAGACGCCTAAACCATCTGTAAATCCAACTTATGCCTTTCGACTTGATCTTCAGTCAACTCCCATCTGATCTTTATCAAATAATGTATTATTGGGAAATGTATGTTCATTTCAATTGCAATAAGATTACATTTGAGTAATGAATAGCTGTTTCCTTCATAATAATGTAACCGTGTTTCTTTTATCAATAGGAACAAGAAGAGAGATTTTAATTTAAAATATATTCTAAGAGGTATCTACTGACTGGACCTATTTACTTATAAGCAATAGAAATTAGTATCATTTTCTTTTGTTGACAATGCGGCGTGAGCCTGAAAGAAAAAAAAAAGATTACATAAGAGTATCACGAGACTCTAGTTATATCTATAACTAGCAACCGACAACAAGAAGGAGAAGCTAAATAAAAAAAGATTGGACCCCAACTACATGACAAACTCAAACGAGTTAAATCATCAGCAACAAAATTATTTTCATTATAAATAGGACAGTTTTTACAAGACCAACTTTGATTATTAAGTTTCATGCATTTACTAAAATATAAGTAAGAGAATCATTTCACTTATTCATTTTCTCTTACGTTTACTTACACATAAGAAGTAAAAAAAGTATAAGCTTTCTCTTAAAATCCGTAATCAAATACTTACAAATAAAAAAAAAATCAGATGACTCGAGGGAGTAGTTAATTTGGTTCTTTTTTCTTACGTCTCCTACTATTGTGTTGCGTTGTTTCTCGAAGGAATAATAATTTTACTGGGAATCAAAGGACGGTGTTTAAAGAGTGAATTATCAGAAACATAAGGCTAACACTTTACCCTTCAACACATTTAAAAAAAATTTATATTGATATCAAAACCGTAAAGAAAAATTCGTTTTGCCCACTGCTTTCCTGAAACAATTATCCCATTCCCACCCAATATTTTACATCGTTGGTGATGCATACGTGTTCTTAATTTTTATTTTATGGAGAATAAGTATAGAATTAGAACCTAAACCCAAATTAATAAAAGTTAATCACTAAACAACTGGTGTATGCATTAGAGAATTATACCCCGAGCCACATCACTCCCTCCTACTTTGAGTTGACTAACATTATTTATACTTTTAATTATATTATTATTATACAGGTGGCTCCTCTTTAACACATTAAAATGACGATTAATTTGTAGCTTTTTTTTTTTTTTGGCAAACCGATTAATTTGTAGCTTAGCTAGCTACCTACTCACATATTTTCATGTAATTAACAGATCATGTCACTCTTAATTACACTTAATTTCCATGAAATTAACAGATCATGCCCTCCTAAGCAGCACAGGAGGCCCATTTAATTGTTGGTATATGAAACCCAGAAAACTTGGTGTCGATCGATTCTTTCTATATGGTCCCTCCTAGCGCTAAGAGCATCTTTGTTGTCCAGAAAAAAAAAATGCTAAGAGCATCTCTAATGGATTCCCATCACCATCTTTAAGGACTTATTTAGGAGCTTTAGAGGAATATTAGAGTCTTTATAAAAATATTGTCTGAAATGGTAATTCCTTAGAATATAATCCATAAATATAGGAACTAAAATATTAAAAAATTATTATTCATTTCATTAAAATACGATAACCATTGATAAAAATTAAACTATCTTCACCATTGATTTTTCAAGAATTAAAAAATAAAAAAAGCAAATGAGAAGCTGCCCCACTTGGGTGGGTTCAAAAAACAAGGAAAAAATAAACAAAGAGCAGCATTTCCCACTCAAAATTAATATGGAATCTACTATTTAAGTCTTTATATATAGTCCTCATATTTGAGAATTCATATCCGGCAAGTTTTATGTATTGAGATATTTTGAGGACTTCAATTCCGGCCCATTAGAAGTCATTTGTCTGTATATTTAAGGAATATACAATTGTAAGGATTCCATTTAGGGTCTCCATTAAAGATGCTTTAAAACCCTTCTTATTTTTCAATTAAAGAATATTCAAAGACAGTAAATCCACACTATAAGACATTACTTCCGCCCAGGACAATTCACCAAAAATCCACATGTGTTTTTCCCTCCATTGAAGTCATAAGAAAACCCTATACAACCCTTGGTTGCTTTAGTTTTCTCCCACCACTATAAAATCCCCAAGCTCTCATCTCTTCTGCTTAGGCGGTAATCATTCAACTTCAAAAACTTCATTTTCTCATAAAACCCACAGTTTTCCTCCGCAACCGTATTTTTTTTGAAAAGAATGGGAAGCTAGTACAAGATATACCTAGAGAGAAAACCCATCTATATAACCATCACCATTCACTTACAACCCTTTTTTATTCCATAGGAGAGTTTCGAATCCTAATCCTACTCCTACCGATCGATCACCCGAACTACCTTGCCGGTAGGGTAACCCCAGTGGCTTGCATCTCTCTGTGGTTCTCTCATCTCTCTTTAATACTCTACATCAAGAAGTTTTTGCAAGCCATTTTTTATCCAACAATTCGCCGCGTTTATTGTAATTGAAGGTAACGTGGTCCAAAAAGCTATGTGGGGTATTTTGTCAAATTTGTTGTGAGGACTGCGTTACATGTAACTTTGAATATAATGTTTCCATGAAGTGAATTCTCACCTGTGTTTATGGGTCAACCTTGCAGGTTTCAATTAATAACAAAATGAGAATTCTCATGTCTGCCTGCAAACAAGTAGTACAGCCGATGGTGAGCTTCCATGGCCCCGCGCTCACCAACATCAACATGGATCCATTTTTCCGGAGAAAAGATAAGGTTGTGATCGTAATGGGAGCCACCGGGACTGGCAAGTCCCGGCTTGCCATAGACCTCGCAATGCATTATCCGGCGGAGATTATAAACTCGGACAAAATGCAAGTCTACAAAGGCTTGGACATCGTCACCAACAAAGTCACTGAGGAAGAGTGTAAAGGCATACCCCACCATTTGATAGGCAAATTCGATCCCAACTCAAATTTTACTGCCAATGATTTCAAGAACCATGCATCGTTGGCCATCGAATCCATCTTGGAGCGTGACAGACTCCCGATCATTGCGGGTGGTTCGAATTCGTACATTGAAGCCTTGGTGGATAAACACTCGGAGTTTCGAATGAAGTACGAGTGTTGCTTTCTTTGGGTTGATGTGGCCATCCCTGTGCTCCACTCTTTCGTGTCGAAGAGAGTGGATCGGATGGTGAAGGTGGGTTTGGTGGACGAGGTGAGGAAAATGTTTGACTCTACAACTGAAGCAGAATATACGAATGGAATCAGGCAAGCCATAGGCGTGCCTGAAATGCATGAGTATTTACACTGTGAAGCGAGTGGTAGTAACGATGATGAAACCCAAGAGAGGCTTCTTCAAGCAGCAATTTCTAAAATCAAAGAAAATACTTGCATTTTGGCGTATCGCCAATTGCAAAAGATCCGCCGGCTGCAAGCTCGGCGGGGTTGGAACATGCACCGCCTTGATGCCACGGAAGTGTTCTTAAAGCACCAAGGGGAGGCGGATCAAGCATGGGAGAAATTCGTGGCAACACCCGCCACGCGGATGGTGGATAAGTTCCTTTTGGACCCAATTCCCTCCATTCTTCCGACAGAGGCCATCATCACGCCACCGCGATTCTTTCCACGTCTATGCCGACAGTGGCTGCCGCAACACGGTAACTAGAGGAAGTAGGTCTTGGCCTAAACATAGAATCTCCATTATCGCTCTAATCTGGTCGGCCATCTCTGCAGTAAAAAGGAAAAAAATCTTAAGAAGAAAAATATAGTTAGAAACGTTGCTGTCACTGTCAGGTGGTTAAGTAAGGGAACCGGATCCGCTCTAGATCCATATTATGAGCCTGCTAAGCAGGTGATCTAACCCGTTGAAATTTGATTTAATAACTACAATTATTATAATTTTTAGAGAACTTCTTGTTTATAATCGTTAGATCAAATTTCAACGATCCGGATCGTCTGCTCAATATGCTCAATTTTATTGGATTTGGAGAGAATCCGGTTCCGTTGAAAGTACCTTTACATCTTTGGGTGGCGGTAAAGTTGGAAGCATTTTGGAAATCCGTCCTGGCTGCTTTGAAGTGCTTTCTTACAGTCCGTTTGTCCGTACGAACCACGCTGTGCGGTGCACCTGCGTCAAATCATCATGAATCATGAGTTGCTAAATAGGCTGTGGGGGTCCATATATTAGGGCCCATTACTTTCTCGTGTATGAAGTAAATATATGAGAGTAAGTAGAGAGTGGTGTCTTTTTGACCTTTTGTGTACCGTTTTTACACCATGGGAGATGATGAGCTCTTTGCTCTTTTTATTTTACATGTATATTGCTAATTTCCTATGGTATATATGCGATTGGGAATTGGAAAAAAAAAGGAATAGGTGTGTGCGCATTTGGTTCATCCATCCACATTCTAATTTCTAAAGTTGAGTATACGTAGCTACTTAGTACTACAGTCTAGTGGCGTTCTTCTTCACTTGTAAGTGAGAGTTCTTATGTTCGATTATCACCAAAACTAAATCCAATTACAAAGTTCAAACGAATTAGATATGTTTGACATGAAAATTAAAGATATTAATTAAAATTTGTATTGATTGTGTAATTAATGTACAATTTTCGTGAAGATTTTCAAGTGCACACAAAAACCGAATACGTTAAAGTCACATAAAACAATGACATTTGATTAAAAATGAGATAATTGTTGAACGACTCTATAAAAGTATAGGTCTAGAATTTAGAGATTCAGCTTAATACGTAAAATCATTAAATTTAAATAATGAAGTTCGACCCATTAATTAGATTGATAAATCCAAATATATTGAGCTATATTTTGAATAATCTCAAGTATATGTGTGTTCGTTGTTACATATTTGTGAGAAATTTACCATGATACTCAACGTATCAGTAACTAATCATTCACATGAACATAATTAACTTGTACGCATGTGCGTAATTCATCCTAGCATATATATATATATATATCGACTCATAGTTATCTGGGAAAAGTGAACAACTATATATTTATGTATGTAGAATCTATTGTAAGATGCACACATCATTAGCACGGTTGAATAAGGTTCTTAAGATTATCCCTTCTACCTTATCAAGTATAGAATCATGACCAATAACCTTCTTGGACAACAGATCCAAAGGTGAAAGAACCTGCAACGTGCATGCATGGAAGGGACACATAAGCCTCTTTATTTGATGGAAGTAAATATGCTGTAATTGACAAATTTTAACATCTAGCTTTTAGCTGTGATTATATTTTGGAACTAACCTGTTCCTAATTGCTAAATTACAATTGGGAATCTTTGAAATTAAAGGGACAGCAAGGAAAGCTGCTGTAATTGGTAGGGTCGTCTATCCAAGATCCCTTGTCGTTTCATGCAAAAATGATTCCAAATTCCAACTATGCAGTTTTATATATAATTAATATGGATTGGCCTTTATACCCACTCAGCACAGGCACTCACTCACCACCTCTTATGTTAAAGGAGAATTTTCAAATATTTTGCACTCAAAATTCTCTGTGACTTTTCTGCAATCCATTTCATTTGTTGATACTTAGCAAAATAATTTATCTTCTCAATAAGAAAATAAAAAAATTACAGATATATTAAGTAAGAAAATCACGTTTCACTTAAGCTTCATTGCAACGTCATAATGAGGGTTAAAATCAACTTTATTAAACGGGAAGAAAGAGTTGGGGCTTAATTTTTCATGTATGGCAATGAGAGGGTGCCAAAACGGCAAATGTAATTTGCTTTTTAGATGAAAAGCCTAGAGAGGCCAATTGGACATTTTTTTTAACAAACGATATTATCTACATTAGGAGGAGGGGTGGCTTAGCCTTACAATGGGTTAACAATAATATGGTTCAAACTCGCATTTGACGAGAATCAAACCTAAGACATCTCAGTTACAAGTGAAGAGGAATACCATTAAACCGTAGTACTAAGTGACAATTGATCATATTTTTAAGTACAACATATATTTTACATTAAAGAAAGGGGAAAATTGGTCATACTTTTTGATATTTCTAGAGAATGAATAATCGAATCTAAAAATTGTGGAAGAGTAATATTATGGGATTACTAATAGTTAATTAATTTAATCGGTGTTACTTAAAATTCTGATTGTGTGGTTACTAAATGTTTTTATAGTGTTGATATTAACTGAATCGTTATGTTTATTAAAAATATGGTGATATTATTTTTCACTTGTAAGTATGAGGTTTTATATTTAAATCTTGTAAATCACAGTTTCAATACAATTGATTACATCTTATTCTCAAACTCTCCATTCTTTAATATATTTTATATTGTTATATCATAAAACTTAGGAGATAGTATTAAAAAAAACTTTATGGTGTCCATATATATTCTCTATAAGGGTATGCTATTCACACACCTCTTGTTAATTTCTGTCCGTTGATCTTCTTCAATTTATCCGACGGTCGAAAACTAAAAAGATGTGGGAGAAGTAAAAAGTGGTGTGTGGATATCACACCCCTTCTCTATATATACAAACCTATGCCTTACGTACTTGACATCATCAAACCTCTACTCTTTTGATCAAAGACTTTAAGCAACTGAATGTTTGAACTTTGAAGACATAGCTACACCAATCTAGGGTTTGCCAAGTGAATGGTATGCACAAACCTTTTGTTTTGTTTTGTTTTTTCTTTCTTTTTTCTCTGTTTTCTCAGAAAGACAAAACGAAGTTAAGATCGTGAACGTAGCACTATTCCTTCTATCTTGTTATACTTTAGTCGATTTCTAATGGAAGAAAAAGTTAAGTTTGATTGGAATGGTAAACAAATTCCCGTTGTCTTCAACGATGCCTAACACCGTCCATTCGACTCATCTGTTAATTTGTACTAAACAAGGACAATAGAAAGAACAGACAAATGTGGCAGCTATCTATTTGCTTAGAATCTTAAGTTGTCATATATAGTCGGGTACACATAAAAGGACAGTCCACTCTACGGTAGTGTGAGGGTTGTCATGCCACTGCTATCACAATTAAATGTTCACGGGTTTTTCTTTTTCCTTTTCATTCTTCTGATCGTGTTTTTAGGGTTTCTTTCCAATTTTTCTGGTTTATCCCGATCCCTCCACTTTTAATCAACAAGTTTGTTTGAACTTGCAAGTTGCAAAGTGACATGAACCACAATATACATGTTTGAAATATCAATTTACAGTGCGCTAGAGCTAGGGTTTTACCAAAATGGCGTGTCTGTATTTTTGGTAGTCGGCCGTGTTGCAAACTTTTTGCTGTCGTAACATGAATATCGTTAGTTGGTCGAATGTCGTAAAGAGAAATATCAATTAATGTTACATCCGATCTTTTATTGTGTTTCCTTTGTTATGTTTTCTCGATTGAAGTGGTAGGCCTAAAAAACAAATATCATCCATGGTCCTTTAAAGTACAAGGCAATTATTGAGTGAACCATGCATGCCCAATCCTATAATATTCGAAGCCCGGGTTGGCCCTGAATATTTAGGGGCTTTGTGCAAGACATGGATGGAGGTCCTTCAATTTTTTTTAATGTTTTTTTTTTTTTGAATTGTTTTTATCCATAAAATTAATATATTACAAGTTATTGCAATGAAAATGAGTTGTTTGATTGGCTGGTTTTTTTTTTTCTTACCTTCAAGGTCCTGAATTCGATACATGTTGGATGCGTTTTTGTTATCTCCTTTTTAAGTTTGCAAATTTGCAAAAACTTAAAAAATTAACAAAGCAATATCATCGGGATTTGAACCCAGCACATGGGTTACAAGGTTTAAGAACTAAACCAATAGCACTAGAACCATAGATATGATTGTCCTTTGCTTCTAATTTATTTTATATGCATCTGTATACATGTAATGAAAATTTGACGGTCTTCCGAATCGGAGGCCATGTGCGGTGGTACCTTTCGCACATCTCAAGGCCGGCTCTGTTCGAAGCATAGCACATGCAATCAAAATTGACTTGCTAGTATATGATGGCACTTTTAGATTAAAAAACGCAAGCCAACCACAAGTTCCTATGGACACCTGCAGTGTTGAATGAAGATAATGCCTCACATGAAACAAAAAACAATTGCAATTTGCGAGTATCTGAAAAGAAAAGAAACCTGCCAAGAACGCTGTCTTGGTCAACTTGAATCAATCGAACCCTACATTTCCAACCCTATTCAAAAAGAAAAATCTATAATCCCCTCTTGACTCTTGTACTCTTTTAATTCGTTTTGGCAACTTGTTTCTACTTGTTTTCGATCCGTAGTTTCTTGGAAATTTAGGTCATTTTTGTTTGATCTTCATGTCTGTTTGCTGGCGGTGGCATTTGTTTTTGAGTAATACTAAGTATATTAAATGTTTAAATTAAATTTGCAAACTAAATCGTTTGTTACCAATTAAAAATAAGCACGTTAATCAACATTTAAGTAGTAACCCAATTATCAATTTTCATGTCATTTAGTTTGCAAAATTTTGTCTACAAATTTAGTCTCCTTAGCATTACCCTCTATTTTTATGGCTTGAGCACCAAGTTTTTGTAGTCTTGTATATGTATTTGGGTATTAGGGTTGGTCTGGTTTGCTGTCGTTAGCAAGTGATAAAAAAGCTTCTGTGTACAACTCAGAAACGCGTAGCCATGATCGAATGAGAGAGAGTTGATGC